GAGACCAAACCGGTTTTTAAGCCTCTTGCGATCTCTTAGGACCAGCTCCGCTCAGCGCATCCGGTCTCAAGAAGTCTTTCTCGGTCGTACTCAATTGCAAGAGTGTGAACGCGCCTTTAGGACCAGCTCCGCAGCGGCGCATCCGGTCCTAAGACGGCGCCAGAGGCTTAAAAACCGGTCCTGCCTTTCGGTCGTACTCGGTTGGAATTGTGTAAACGAGTCTTTAAGGGCAGCGCCATCTAGCGAGCGTCAGGTTCCGCGGCCATGCTGAGTGGCTAGAGACGTTGGCGAAAGTGCTCTTCGGGGCGCCGCTCCCGCGTTGGGTGTGCTGGTCAGCTGCTCCAAAGTACTGGGAATCCAACTTAGGGCGCGTCTCATGTTCTTGTGTGCCGCGAATGGCGTTTTTCAGCTCATTGGGAACGCTTCTTGCCCCGCATTATGGTACCCGCCAGTGCGGCGATGCCGAGAAAAGCGGCGATGAATGCGCCACCGATGGAAATCGGAGGTGAGTACTCGAAATATTGTATCGGTTTACACCGAGAATATTTTTGGCGTTTCGTGTCATCCACAACGAAATATAATGCGAACAAGGACGCGCGAAATAAGAGCATTGCACGGACCCAAGTAAAAAATCATACCTATATAAGAAATCTCTTCGACCACTAAACGCATATGATAAAATAAGATCTTTTAAAAGCATACAAGAACCATATAAGAACATTTGAGAGAAATATACGATTATATAAGTTATAAGAAATTGATTAGAGGTTTCTTATAACTTCTATAATCGTATATTGTTCTTATATGGTTATTGTATGCTCTTATTTGATCATATGCGTTTATTAGACAAAGCAACTTTTTATGCATATAGGATTTTTTTTTTTTTTGCTAGTTGAACGATCGAAGGCAGCTTGCAGGTGTTTACCAAAGTTCTAATTGAGGATCCCGTGTCGACGAGTGTATCCTTTGTCTAGAACTGAAAACAGCGAAGTCGAGATGGGCCCATTGCTGGAGAGTGTCGATCAATGATTCAACGATTCGAGATCGATGCACGAGCATGTTTCAGCAATAGAAATTGAAATTTTCTTTCCAGCTATGTTATGTACTAATTTGCAAAGAGAGAAGAACGCTGTCGCGTTGTGACGGTCAACCTAAGTTTGCGGCTCTCTGCTATCGCGCAGAAGATCGCGATTAAGGAAAACCGACAGAACTAACTTTTCAAACATTTTTAGCCACACCCGGCGGCGAAAATGAGCCTTCAGCTATGAGCGTTGTAAATGGTAAGATCGTGTTCATGTCACCACTGCAAGATATCAGCATTAAGATAAATTAAGTTACGAAAAGTTACAAGCTGAAACGGAGATTTTTGCTAGAACACTTGCACCCACCTTATCAGCGTATACCCTCATGTTCATCGACGGTACAGCGGTTAAGTTCGGTGCGCGCTCTATTCACAAAATGTTCCGAACACACTCGAGAGGATGGCGTCGGGGAAAAGTATTTTCTGTTTACAAACGCAACCCACTGCCGCCGGAGGTTTTGGTCATTTGGAGGGCGATGAAGTTTGAAATGTTTTATTATATTTTCGTCGCCCATGCCGGATACTGGGTACAAGTGTAAACGAAAAAGGTATATTAAATAACCCTGAAACTGCATTTCACTAGAGCGAAGGCTTAGCAGTATTTGAAAGATCAAATGTACGTTTCACCCACGAGAAACGATTGTGTATAACATTGTCAAAAAATTTTCCAAGCAAAAAAAAAAAAATGATATGCGAAAAATGAAAGCCGTTTACAACTCCCTGTAACGCCGAATAGGTCACGTGACCTGGGGGGGGGGGGGGTCACGTGACCTTACGGCTACGCCGACGCCGCTCAAGCCGGAAACGGGCGCCTACGAGCTGCGCTTTAAAAAGAATAAGACATATCAAAAATGCCAAGTGTTCCACAGCTATAGGAACAATCTTTTAGCTCCACCCACAAGCGCATTGCGCCCATCTGAAGTGCCTCCGCCGTCAAGAAAGTAGTTCGCTAGCAACGTTGCTTTTTCTTCCTCCAGGAAACCTGTCTTAAACTACTACAATATTTATTTAATTCATTCAGGACATTTAAATAAGTTAGAATACGTTTTTGTCAACGAAATAGCTGTTTAGTAAAGAAAGAAAGAAATTCATGTCCAATGTACCGTCTTCCCAATTCATTTTCCGTCCAAGATACTGTCTAACATACCCTCTAACATACCTCTCAGCAATGCTAAGCCTCGCGCCCGCTTCGAAATTTTCGTTGGCGATAGCGTCGCTGGATTCTCACGTTGTCGCGCAAAAACTGCTGCAAACGCAAGCCGATACCATCAAGATTTCGTGGCGTAACCTCGGGCACGTAAAACACGGTGCAAAAAAAGCAGAATAATTGTCACGAGAAACTATAGCATCGCGTTGCTAAGGCCAGCAGCCATGTTGAGCTTTTTTTTTTTTTCAAAAGGATTGCGATTGGTCCACAGAATCGTGACGTCATGAAAACAATTGGCTGGCGTTTCTCGGCGTAGGATTACATTTTCCTCTGAGAGGCATTTACGGTTTTTTCTTAGCTTGCAACCGACTATACCCGATAGATGGCAAGTTTGTTCTCTCGTCGTAAAACGACACAATGGGTTTTAGATCACCCGGTCATAAGTAGTCGCAAGTGTGTGCACCAGATCTTACATTGGATTCCGTCATGATCAAGGAAGACATCAATTTGGCAAGACTTGTTGTTGGGCTAGTTGGTTCATGGCATTGAATAAACTTGTCCACTCCTTCCTGTTCGTCGTCTGTGTTTGTGCATACAAGTTTACTCTTTACTGGATACATCAATGTTAACCGGTCGTTCGTAACAAGCGTTGATGACACGCCCTCAAGAGTGACCTCTACTCAAAACCGCTGACCTGACGCTCTGTGAAGCGTCTCGTACTTTTTGTCTGCTTATCTTCAAACACCAAAGACTGTCGCACAAATCCAAATAAACGAACGGCTTATCGGCAATTTTTTTAAAGTTTTATTTATTCAGCTTTATTTGTTGCCTTTCGGCGTGAAGGGACAAGAATCAGACACGTCTATCTAACTGATTATTTAGTATTAACTGACTTTTAAAAGCTAAAAAAAGGAGAGAAAAAAGGTATACTATGTGTAATTATGAAAACAACAGTTTCAAAATGAAACTGTTAGAGGACTGACACTGTGCTGTGTTTCTGGATGCTAGCTTTCGCCCGTTTCAAAAATTTCTCTACTCGGGTAGGAAAGCCTTGGTTACAGCGCTTGCAGCCTCGATGCTTTGACAAGCGGAAGATGCCCGTACATATTGACAGTGAAAACAAAAAAAGAAAGAAGAAAGCAGTTCGCACTCCGGCTCGGCACAGTTGTAGTGCTGTCGCTCGTCCGCGTGAATCCTCTGTGCAGCTCCCTGGCGTGCCTCGGCAGGCGTAGCTTGCCGTCTCTTGGACATCTGACAAGGATGGGCGAGCCAAGAATAGAGGAGGCGGCCTCTAATCTCAGACCCGAGCCGCGCACGACCCGGGAGACGCCGCGGCGAAGGTGAGTGGAGCACCCTGGCATAACTTCGAACCTCGTTTGGAGGCACGGTGACATTGAAAGCTAAACGACCAATGGTTTTCTTAATCCCCGAAGCGCCTAACCGGGGCACTCATATATACTGCCTCGTGGGCTTAGTACGCCAGATGACAAGTCTGGTTGTTTGGTTATGCTAACAAATATCGTTAACAATGTAAAAAAAAAAATCACCATGCAGTTAACGCAAAACGTCAAGCATAGTGATCAATTGAAGGGCTCCACCAACGATGTGGCCAAGGTTACTCAATATGCGAGTGCTGTGTTGTGCCGATAAACTGCTACAATATCTATGCGCAACTTTCAAATATTGGAAGAAATAAATGCGTGCTAGGGCACGTGTTTATTAAACTGTTTGGACGTTTGGAAGGGGTGCCACGTTCTGAAAAACGGGAGGAAGCAGCGACGGACGAGACAGTCTTAACTTTGTATGACGTCGTTTTGTTGGTTACCTTTCCTCGATGTCAGGGTTTGGAAAAATAGCGATACCGAGCCCACTCTCATGAGCACCGTACTTTAGAAGTTCTTTTTTGGTTATGGCAGCTCTTTGCCGACTTGGAAAGACTGTGGCAAACCGGTTTGATTTGCCATCTGCAAACCCTCCAGCAACACCAAATGCTCCTCCAGCATTGCTGTTGACGGATATGTTGTTGCTGCAGAGGGATGCGTTGTAGAGGGATGTATCTATTGTCTTTGGCGAAGAATTTGTTACTGAAGGAGAGCGGCAAGAATCAAATCCTTGTCGCTCTTCGTATCTGGGTCTTGTAATAAAACATACTGGAAGCCTCAGAGGGACAGCGAACCCTTCCCTAAAAGACAAGGTTCTATAGGGCCATCAAAGAGTCAATAACCCTCAAAAAACGTCATTGCCACCTCGAGGTGTGCTTGTGAATTTAATCACAAGGTAACTTTTGTTCTTTTTTGAAACTTTTATTAAAACTAAAACACAACTCAATTTAGCTTTTAAATGGAGAGGGTCGTTTGTAATCGTTACGCTCCTTTGTCCATCTCGCGGAGACTCCGCCGTTATTTTCCCTCTCCTCCCGCCGACGTTTCAGATTCCGTTTGGTTTCCGCTTCACCCTTGCCGTCCATCACTGGATTCGCATCCCCAGGTGGTTATTGTGATGGTGGCGGCAGTCATCTCTTCTTGCTCGACTTCGCCCGAGCTGGTGTAAACATCACGCGAGGCCGCGAGCAAAGCTCAGTCCGTCAGGTGCCTGTCGATGCTACCTGAGCATCCCCATGCTCGTCTTCCTCCTTTCTTGTGTACTTGTTTTCGTCCCGTTCAAAGTCTTATTTTCCAAGAAAGTGTTCAGAAAGTGCTTCCTTTAGTTCTTCCTACAAGCTTCTACCGTCTTCGTCACTTGTCCCAAGGTCGGCAAGAGGAAGCGGGCTTGATGGAGGCCCTCCCGTTCCTGGAGGAGCTCGTACCTTACGCGGTGCTGCTGGTCAACGGGCTCCTGTCCTCCCTGCTGAGGCGCCTCTCTGCCAGGCTGGTGCCCCTCCGAGCACAACTGGTAGCCTCTGAGGCCATATCTACCTGGGAGCTGTGCAGTGACGTCGGCGAACTAGGTTCGTGTCAGCTGTCCCGTCGACAGCGACACATCCCTGTCCTCGTAAGACTTGAATGTGGGGTACCGAAATCTCTAAAGCGTTCGTTTTTAACTAAAAGAAAAAAAAGTTTACAAAAAAAAAGGGGGGGGGGGGTGATTGCACTAAACATTGTTTATGATAGGCTGGCTAATAAACCGTCAAAAACGCTAAAAAAGTTTATAAAAAAAAGTGGCATTTCTGAAGTGAAGAATGCATGTGTATGTTGTTAAAAAGGCCCCCAATGTGCACGAACGCCAGCGTACCCTGCCGCAAACGAAAATTGTCAAGCCAAAATCATGAAAGTTTGTCTAGACTCTAGATTGTAGAACCAGGGGCATAGCCGAAAGGTGTGTGTGTGTGTGTGTCGGGGGGGGGGGGGGGGGCTTATGGGTAGTCTTGTGCATTTTGAGTTCGAAGCGAATACTGTTTTTGGCCGAATATTTTCGATTCGAATATCGAATAGTTTTTCCACGCCTTTCACTACCATTGCGTAATGCTCAGACGAAAACCCGGCTAAACTTGGGATGGTTGTTCCACTTGTTCATTTATAAGCTAAGTTTATCTACATTTTTGAACTGTGTCTTCATAAGGTCTGATGTCTTGGGATGGCAAGTAAACGACGGGCTTGACATAAAATGAATCCTACAGAGATGACCAACTATACCTAATTGAGTGAATTTACAAATCTTGCTATATAAAATATTCCTCCTTTATTCTCGAGTTAAAAAAGAAATAATTGCGCATGTTGAACGCAGCTTGTAAGGGCATCTTTGCCTAACATAGTATACTCCTGCATACCAGTCAGTTTATTTTGGAACTTTTACTACAATCAAGATATACACATTCACAAAGTCTCCATTTATTCCCAAATACAGCCGGCACGCGTGCACCCTCCCGCTTTGAACGTATGTTTTCCTTCCAAGGACCCAATTGCGATCGATATTCCTACTTTTCCACGTGTTAATCGCGGCGGGTTACCCCGTTGAGTGCGGTCCTTACCGAGCACCGATGTAATGCAGAGAAGAAACACCCGCGGAGCTCGCTTCCGCGGGTATTGCTTCTCCGCTGTGCACCGGTGCTCGGAAAGAAGCGCACTCAACGGGGCTAACCCACCGCAATCAACACTTCGAAAAACGCGAATAGTGCAGTTCTTTTCGAAGTGAATATCGAATAGTCCATTATTCGAAACTACTATTCGAAATTTCGAATATTCGCACAACCCTACTTATGGGGCTTCAGCCTCCCCCGAAATCCTGCAGATCCTGTAATATACGAATGTATTTTGACCCCTCCCTCCCTCCCCCTCTCCGCACCCCAAGTCATCGACATCCCAGCCACCTCAGCCCCCCCCCCCCCCCCCCTCCCCTTCCCTTAAAAAAATTCCTGGTACGCCACTCTGTACCACTATGCGATATCCGTAGACTATGGCAAAAACTAGCACTAAAAAGATCAAAGATGAACTAGCTACTCTAATGAACGAACCAGAGCTAAAAGTGAAACCGCAAACACTTCGTCTACCGCTCGGGAAGGCGCGGAGAGATGACGTCATTTTCAGGTTCTCTCCTCGCACCGACCGCGCCGAGAAGTGGATGAAAGGCACGACATGAACCCGAGACTGGGCTTCAGCAATCTTTTGAAAGCGCCTTTATTGTTACTCCGCGTGACAAAACAACAACAGCAACAAAAATTGTCATTTGTGATGTTAGAGGCGAAACAAACACTTCAAGTTTTTTTTTTATTAAATACATTATTTGATTAATTGGCTAATCACAGTTTCCCTTTGATTAGCCAATTAATCTCGACGTTCACCATCTCATCGGATATCAGAATTAAAAACAATAATACTCTATATAAAGGTGCGTATATGCACGACCGGGAAAAGCATCTTGGTAAGAGAATCATTTCGCACGTAAATCGCTACCGCCCCGTTTCTTCAGGGAGGCACACAAAGAACAGCAATAAGACGTGCAACAGTAAAGTCACAAAAGGTTAGCGCTACACCATTTTATAGCCATTCGGTGGGCCCTTGGAACGACATAGTAAATGCCAGCGGGGGAAATTGCCCCGGCAGGCATAGTGTACGAGAGACACGGCACGCTGCTGTACGCGCTGGCGCTGCTGGTCTGCTGTCTCTGGTGGTGCCGGGCGTTCGGAGACGCCGAGGCCTGTCCCTGCGGGCCCGTCGAAGACCTGCTCTTCGGCCTCGGTCCGGGAGACTACAGGCCGCGCCTGGCCGGCCAGCTTCTCGGAGCAGTCCTCACGGCGCTGTGAGTTGGAAACTCCCCCTAACCACACCTTTTCAGCGCTTATCACCCCGGGAGAAAAAGTGCCGAGTCATTGAGTTGTAGACGTATGCGCTCCGTCTGCAAAAGAAAGAAAAAACTGCGCATGCTCAGAACGCGTTTCACAGCCCAGTAGACAAGATGGCCGCGCGCAGAAGGCGACTATTGGAGTGGCCTGTAGGGTTCGGAGTATATGTGCAAACTGGTATGTTAAGTCACCAAATTACTTGTAATCGACTACTTTTTGGAGCAATTTTGTAATCATTTGAACACATTAGGAAGTAATCGCTGAAGAAATTTGATTACTTTTGCAAGCACCAAAATTACTGGTAACCGTTTACCATTTTTTCGACCACCTGAGACTGGGTGTAAGAAACACGACGACGTCTCTGAGACGTCGTCGTGTTTCTTTCACCCGGTCTCAGGTGGTCGAAAAAACGGTGAACTTACACCAGCTCGCCTGCGCCCTAACTGTTTTTTCATTAACGGTAACCGTTGCTAGGTTTCCCTCCTCTTTCTAAATGCGCGTTTGTTTCTACGACTTTCCTACTACGGAAACCTCGAACCAAATCTCCAACAGGGGCAGGGTTTACTATAATTGGTGAATGAAGATAAGCAGTTTATAAGTTCGGTGATTCTAATAAAATAATGGACAGTATTCGCGACTCCAGCGAACTATAGAGGGCGCGCTGGTCAGGCAAAATGGCGGACGAAAGGAGGTCGTTTTCTTCGTTTAGCACGCGGCCCACCATAAATTGCTCGCAATTCCAGTGTAAAATCGGTGTTACATATGAAAGCAAAGCAATTTTTCGACGGTAGAAACTTTATTTTAGTCAGTGCGTAGGAATGACACGGCAGAAGCATAAAATTAATCACTGGAAATGATGTATGTTCCTGCTGCCCACGAGAACCAAGCACCAATAGCAGACGACAGGGTCGAAACGACCACCTCTCCTAAGCTTCTCGGCGTTCCCGCTACGCAGCGTCTGTTTCGCTGGAGTCGATAATACGAAAGGTCCGTTCTAAAGCCAGCAGAAAAATCGGTAGTTTAGGCAATCTGAAGTAATCGGAGAAGTAAGGGTTCCCTTTTCAAGTAACGGCCTAACGGCCCCTACTCGAGTAATCTATAAGTGAATACTTTTCCCCAAGAATGATCGTAATTGAAATCGATTAATTTTTTTTTTCGAGTTTTGCGAACGAGGTTGTGTATGGGCCACGTAGATTTTACGGAAGCAGGTGTTCATTTATCCAACACATATTGCCGCGTTGAACATTCAAGTTATATGTTACCACAGGGAAAGTGTCTCGGCAGTTACCCGTCACCACTGTATAGAGTTCAGTCCATCAAAACGCGGTGTTAGAAAGTAACAAATTATTCAACATGCTTTACCGGAAACGCGAAATCATTAGGTTTGCATGCATGGAATACCGATTTCTGGATGTGTCTTAAAAGGGACAGGTATGCAGCGCTGTCTAGACAGAAAATAACTGGACGAACCTTTGCGTTTGAGTCCAAAGCAGGTGAGCCTTTAAAACTCTAACTTCTTCAGTTCCAAGCAATAAAAAAAAGTTACCTAATTTTTATTTTTATTGTTACGCTACTTTTATACAGTGTGCAAAGTACAATACAACAGCGTACGCAGTAAAGCATGTTTTTGAACACAAAAGTCGCTATAAACTGCCATAGTGTGGCTTTTTCAAGACACAGTACAGCAATAGCAAAAGCAACTGCTATTGTTTGTTGCTTTACCACGCGCGAAGTACGTGAAAGTGCGCGTGCTCTGATCTGGCGCCGGCGTTTCCCATCATGTCCCAAGGTACATCAAGTTCATCTGGTCGTGGGAGATCATAGCGGAGCACAGGATCATGGCCACGACGGAGTGCCAGACATCACTCATGGTAATACATCTTCGTGGTTCATTTCTAGTTCAGAGTGCACTGCCATTAAAGCAAAGTTTGGATTTGTGTAGCCGTCGCGCCGCCGCAGGGTGCAATCATCAGCCAAACTTAGCGGGCCGCCACTACGGGCCACACGACGTCCATCGGGTCGCATGACGTCAGTGTTACAGCCTGTTGTCACGTGACTCACAGTGCGAAGTTGAGGGTGACTTGTCACGTCATAGTGTCAACAATTGCGACGTCACGATCTCTGTCCTCTTTGCGTCAGCGGTCCCGCTCCTCATGGCCAAAGCGCGCCACTACCACCTGGTTTCCATTCATAGGAGAGAAGAAAGTGTTGTGTGAGCGAGCCGGCGAAGTGAAACCGTGTATTGTTCGAATGACATTACAAGAACAAGCTTTGATTCCTGGGTTCACCTCCAAGATTCCGACATTCGAAAAAATCCGTGGCGGCGCAAGTTAGTTGCGCGCTTTGGCCGATGGAAACAGGACCGCTAGAGCAGAGGTACGTTCCGATACGAAACCGAAACTTTAAAACGCCTCAAAGTCCACTTCCTCCTTTTTTCGGAACGCCACAAATTGTTGCGCGTGCCTCGTGTTTTTGTCAATTTGGGCTGATCTAACGGTCTCTGGCGATGCTTACAAAGTTCTTAATTAAAGCCACACCTTTAAATTTACCAAATGAAAAGTTAATTACTCAAAAGTAAGTAATAACCTATTTTGATAAATTAACTTTCCTAAACTGTCACTTTGCACACAGCACTACCACTACGACATCAACCTTTTTTTTGTGCAATGTGTACTTTTTGCGGAACGATTTGGCAGGTGTACCGTGAAACAGCCTGCATTTATCGCGTATGTATTCAGCACACATGGACGTTTTCACGGTATGATCAAAGGAGCGCTTTAACGCTTTACCCTTTAAAAAAATCTAAGAACTAGTTAAAAAAGGAAAAAAAGTGGGAAGTATATGATATGCGTCGACACAGAAAAAGAGAAGGCTATTTCAAGCCAGTCTTGCTGCAATGGTGTCGGCATGTTATGGTCTACATACGGCAGGGCGTGCGGCGTTACGAAAACGGGCAGCCGCTCGTAGGAAAAAGGCTGTCGATGAAAGCCCCCCCCCCCCCCCCCCCCATTTCTTTTCCAGAATATACAAAAAACAGTGATGAAATATTGATTTGAAGCAGTAATTCTGACGCTTTTGGAGCAGACGTCAACATCTGTTAGCACATCGCTTGAAACTTAATATTACGTCGCTAAAGGAATCTATATTTCATAATGATTGAAGGTTCCTCTTTGATATTGGAGCATATACTTATTACCTTTTTCTAACAAGAGTCCAAAGGATGCAAAAGGTACACATAACCTTCTTTTTGGAAGTAAAGCTCAGGTCAGAGTAGGCCATTCGCCTTGCAATGCGTACTACAACGAAAATGTTCAAAACTGAATCAGAGTAAAATCTCTCTCCCTCTTGCACAAGTGTAGTTTATTTGGCCTGTAAATATAATTTCTAAAAAAATGCCGCCCAAACCAGCTTATCCGCTAAAACGTCAATCAATAAAAATGTCTCCCCAAGTTTCATGAACCTACCAAGCTGAATATTCTGGGAAAACGTGTGTTTTAATATCATAAACTTCGAATTCAATTATAATTTAATGACATAATAATTAAAAATGTTATATCATAAAACAGAAAAACAGCCACCAGAAATATCATGAAACCCTACAGTTCTCACACTGCGCTTTAGCGGCTTAGGAGCCAGGGTTGAATCATCGTTTGCTGCCCTTGTGATCAACTGCTGCACAGGAACAATACTACCGTATTTATTAAAAAATAAACCCGCATTTTTATTTCGTTTTTTTTTTTTTTTTTTTTCTTTCATAGGAGGCAGACGGCCGTGCATGCGAGGGTTCGTGTCGTCTCGTGCTCTACACGTGCAGGAGCTTCAGCGAAGTTCTCGCACGTGCAGAAAGACTAAAGTTCCCTCGATGCATTGCGGCAGCGGTGGCGTGGTCAGACTGCCCGGTGAGATCGGTCTATTGGAGATCAGGGGCCCTAAACTCGTCAAACACAAAGTTGGAGCAGAAAGTTCGCGGAGCGCGACGATTGGACGTCGGCGAAAAAAGCGCCAAGTCATTGTCGTGTTAAGCCAATCGGTGCGCTCCCTCAACTTCGGCCCCAACTTTGTGTGTGACGAGTTTAGAGGTCCAGCTTAGAAAACAAGTTTCCGAAATCCTTCCCCCAGCGATAAAAATGGGAAATAATCTCAAATTCAGGCTTTTGTGAGGAGAGGGACTATGCACAATATAAGATTTTTGCTCTTTACAGCACTCTTGGGATCGGTGTTGTTCTTAGAGCTTCATGACGATGCATTTCTGGCGTTCCTGCACTCCATTATGTGCAAAAGTAAAAAACAAAAAAGAAAGCGGAGTTTTGCAAGAAGCGCAGTTCCCTACTGTGTCATGGCATCAGCATAAACAAGTATGGCGGCGCCCGTGGTACAAAACAGGCACTGGTCTATGCTGACAGCATAATTTCTGTGCCCCCAGCCACTGCTCCCAGCACATTAGTGCAATGTGGTGAAGCTCGACGCACTCGACGGAGCAAAGCGGTAAAGCTTGACGCGAAAGGCGCAAGTGCCGCGGTACCCTGTAGACGCGGCATGGAGGCAAGTGGCAGACACGATATTCAAATGATCTTGTCGGAAGTATAAGACCCTGGTTCTGCGTCTTATCACGGTAGCCGCCATCACACTACTTTCAGCGATGTGATTGGACTAAGCCGTTTTGGAGCACCTTTCGGAGCAGTCAATACAGTGTTTTGGAGCAGGAAAAGGGGACTTTAAAGTAGCCAAAACAGTGTTTAGGAGCAGCAAAAGTGGCTTTTGGAGCAGATATTCTTAGAAAAATAAAAACAAAATATTCGTTCCAAGTGCTGGACAAACGAAGGACACTTTGCTCGCCGCAATAAACAAATTATATCGATTAAAAGGTTCAAAGGCGCGAACAAAAGGACGAAAAAAGACACGCGTGCGACACGGACAGGCGCCATGTGTGTCTTTTTTCGTCCTGTTTTGTTCGCGCCTTTTAACCTTTTAATCGATATGAACGAACTAGCCCCAGCCAAAGTTTTATTGCAACAAATTATAGTCAAGTTAGACCATCTGGGAGCCTTTCAACATGTAACTGAAATGCCAAGGACACGACACATTTTGCAATGCTTTAGTTAAATTATAGATATATATGACCCTCTATAAATAAATAAGAAACAAACTGCACATATTAAAAATCAATTTTGAAATGGCCAGCTTAGTACTAGTAAATATCACAGCATTAGGTTGACTAGTTATATAATAAATGGAAGCAGTCTCCAACTAATGAAGCACGTCACCACTGCAGTGCAATCCGAAATTGTCGCGAAAGTGGAGATGGCCTGTCCGATCGAAACCATGCCACTCCGCTCCGACGCCAACTGGTTCCCAAAATTGTACACAAAATGTAACTGACTAGCGGGAGGCACTCACTTGATCGAATGACGTTTTAGCGAACGCCCACGTATCATCGAACGACACTTTAGCGAATAGTCGGACGCCGCGAAGCGGCGTTTTCGGGTGGGCCAAGTGAGTTCGTATTTTTGTAATTAGTTGCCGCAGACTGTCGCCGCGAAGCGGCGTAAAGCGCAGCGCGACGGATGGGTTAACGCGCGCCCCCGTTATTCGCTAAAACGACCATTCGCTCAAATGTCGCCGTTCGCTAAAATGTCATTCGCTCTCGTGATATGGACCCCTGACTAGCATACGACAAAAAACAGTCCAGCGGCACGTGCTTGCCAGGCCGGCAAACAAGGTACAAGCTAAACACACACACAAAAAAAAGAACCTAAGCACACCGATGCAAGACTTCACGAGCCAGGGTCAAAAAGTTCTCGGAGCGCTTTGTGCAACGACCGAACTCGAGACAAACAAGTGCGCTGTAAGGGTTCAGCGTGCAGGCATTGCCTTCTTTGCTTTAGCTCACTTCTCTCAACCAACTTTCTTTCGCGGCAGATTTTTCACGTACCGGGGTTCCTCTCGAAAGAAAGCCTACCGAGAGAAACCTAGGTAATCAATACTTCGACACAACAGTCTTTGAACTAAAGAGGGATTTTTGTAGTAACGTATGAATTAAACAAGAACAGGAATGTTGATGAACATGCGGCGGTATACTTGGTTTCATTTTAGATAGCTCATATCTGCAGCGACATGGGGACGGCAACACCCGACGTTGCACGACTACGGTGACTGGAACGCAGGGAGTAAATATAGTTTTCCCACGCCCGTTGCTTTCAAGAGCAAGTGCTTCATCTGCCAAAGTAACTCCCGCTGCGCAAAAACGTGGTTTCGTTTCACAGCATGGCTGCAGGTACCCGGCACGCTAGCGTCGGAGCGTCCGCACATGCCCGCGTCTATCGTTGAAATTTTTTTTTTTTTTTTTTTTTTTTAAAGACACGAGACGACGACAGCGCGAAACGAGAGACGGCGGGAAAAACGATGCAAGACTGAATGAACCATTGATGCAGGGTACTTTATGTCGGGCGGCCGCTTGCGCCACCTGCTCACCTGTGCGCTCATTACGGTACTCAGTTTAGTTTCGGTTTGGAAAGGCGACCAAAATTGGTCCTTTGGCGCAGGCTTGGCGCAGTACCCATATTTTTGCAAAATGTAGCAGGATGTGGCGAAGTTAGCTCCTGGGCGCAGTTTGGCGCAGTAATCACGTCACTGTATTTTGTGAATTTTTTCTCGCGACTCTTCGTTCTTGACATCGCTGACGTCGTCTGGAAGTTCAGACGACGTCGTGGTCAGCGACGTTGGACGAGCGATCTGTACACGCTGTTTCAAAACGCAGCCGGTCCGATGGGACTAACAAAACCGCGTCAAAAGCGCAACGTCATGGCATTCGTCATCTTTCTTTGCGTGTTCTTTCATCAGCTCGCAGTGAATGCCCCGTGACTTGCGTTTTTAGTATGTACGTTCATGGTTGGTGTTCGAGCCCTCCACTCTACTCGGACCAAAGATGAAACGAAGTATACGGCGAGCAGAAATGCGGCAACATGTGTATTTGCACAATGTTCCTTCCCTTCTGCTTTTCTGAATATTAGGGTCGACCGATATTTAAATATTCTTATTTTGAACGCGAAAGCCTTATATGTCTCATCGTTCAGTCGACCTTCAAAATCCCTGAGCGAAAACACGTCGGCGACACGAAAGGTACCAAAACCCACGGTTCGCCACTGGAGCACGAGATGGCGTTACTTGTGCCAGAATCGGCGGAGGGGTGCGTGTGGCGCAGAACCAGTGGGAGAGGAGGACACTCTCTTGCTCCCGCTCGGGCAGCGGTGAAGAGCGAGCGTGCACGACGGCGCCAAAACTGCGTCGTCAGAGGGCGCGCCGTCTTCGGAGGTTCGCTAACACCGGGATCGGTGCTTGGGCTTTCGCCTTAGAGCCGTCTGAGGGATAACATGAGAGACCCTGTGAATTTTTCTTTTTGCTTTGTTTAAGCCCATCTCGGCGCCGGTGTGGCGCAATTCCGAGCAAAAATTACATTTTGGCGCGAGATGTATACATACTTTCGTTTCTGGCGCAATTTGGCACAGCACTTTCATCACTTGAAATAATACGAATTCAGCATGTATACGGGAAAAGGGCTCTAGAAACACGGCTGAAAGCTTAAAGAACATAGACAAAACCCGTGTCGCACAGAAACAGCCCAAATGATACACCGTAGCTGAATGACCGATCGGTGCATGATTTCCTTATTCATTATTATTTCTTTGGATGTCTCGAAACTGGGCAGAATGAGAAAGCCAAACTCAAAAAGTTATCAATAAGCAAATAATAACTACTAAAAACAACGACAGCTTTGGGACAAAATCGACTCAGGAAGGCACCTTTCGAGAACACTAGTTATATGTTCCTGTCAACTTCCAAAGTATTCTATATTTGCTGGGCAAAAACCTCTTCTAGAGTCACTTCAGATCAAGTGAGAATGCAACAAAATAAAGCATAAAATTGTTTCTAAAACGCAGGCGACGGCAATAATAATAATACTTTATTATTGATATACAAAGAGCATGTTGGTGCGGGTCAATGTTAAAAAAAAAAGAATAAACATAAAGACAACACAACCAAATCTTTCAACTAGCAATGGACATATAAGAATTCCAAAAGCGAGCAACCGATTGAAGCCGGAAAAATCAAAGAAAGAGAAAGTAGCTAAGAAGAGCAGAAAGACGGAGGAGACGATAAGATAAAATGCAAAATCAGGTCGGCAGAGTGCAGGAACGGGTGTGCATGACTATGGGATGGTAGGAATCAGGTAAGGCCTTCGAAACTTGAGTGTAATATGAACCTGCCAGACTGACCTATGCATTGGCTCCCGCAGGTGCACCAATCACAAACACCGGGAACATTACACTGAAGTTTCCAAGGACTGGTTCCTACCATCCCATAGTCATATACCGGGCGTACATGACTACGGGTTCCTGCACCGATCGCAAGCCCCGTTTTAAAGGAACAAGAATCCTTGTTGGGGGGGGGGGGGGGGGGGTTGGGGGGGGGGGGGCATAACAGCAGATATGGCCAAACGATTATAGTCATTCGCTATGAACAGCGGAAACATTTCTAATCCCTCATAGTTTCTGACGAAAACTGAAGTTGAATTTCTCAAATGAGAGATGAATCTGTTGACCAGACTTTGCCTTTTATCTTATTGCCTATTCTCTCCTACTTTCTTCTAATTACTTTCCTTTTCCTCGATTTTCCAACTTTTAATCGGTTGCTCGCTTTTAAAATTCCTATATGTCTGTTGCTTGTTGAAAGATGTGGTTGTGTTGTCTTTCTCCGACATGTTTATTCTTAATCTTGACTTTATAATTCAGTGCCTCAGGACAACCGAAGTCTTGATACGAGACACATTTGTGATGATAGAACATGCATGATACAGATAGAAAAACATATATGATTATATGATGAGCAGATTAATGTTTCAAGTTTATATATAAAGTGCACATAATTTGTAAAAGTACCTGTAAAACCATTCAATTTCATGCAGCAGTAATGTTAAAAGCACAGTCGCTGAGAGCAGACGTTTTCCCGCAAACGGCTTCAGATGGCAAGACATAACATTAACGGCCCTTAAAAAAATGCTTTCCAGGTATCCACGACCAAAGGAGCGCTCATAGAAGGCATCATCACGTGCGTCAGCCGGTTTGTGGCCATGCGTTCCATCTACTGGACACAAAACGTGTCCACCATCATCAATTCCATAACCACGGTGGTGCTGGTCCTTGCTGGTAAGTAAAATCAGTTTGCTCAGCTCTTAGTTTTCTAATTTTGGAAACATTCTCTCTTGGACTAAGACC